CTAAAATAACTTGTGCAGAGCTGCAAGGTGGAACAGACTATAAAACATCACAAAAGACTGAGGCTCTTAAAAATAAAGCTATACTTTTAGAGCAGTTGAATGTGTCTCTTTTGTTGTTTAAAAAAATATTAGGCTATTTTATTATGAATGTTTCTTGTTTAAAAGGTTTTTTTAACGTTTAAGTCCACAAATTTTATGCTTTGTGGAATTCTGCACTTTAAAGATTCATCTCGGTGGTCACTCAGGAAATCCTCCAGAACCTCTGCTGATTGTTTCACAAAGGAGAATGCTTCATAAAGTGAAGAAGATGATGGACAACAGTGAGCATCCTATTCAGAACAATAACAGAGTAACCTCAGTCAAAGGATGGATGGACGGACGGATGGATGGTTTCACCTTGTGACTGGGCGGCCATCTTCATGGGAGTAGGACTGCATCCTTCTGAGTCCTTCCCGTGGTTGAAGTCTTCCAGGTTCTCCAGGCTGGATAACTGTGACAGCAGAAATGTTCTCTAAATGTTTGTCTAATCCGGAATAAACAGGTTGATGCTGATCTGACCCAGGAACACATCGGGATGGATTGATGGGAGAATGTAATCCAGCTGCTACTATCATCCTATTATCATCCAGTTCATCCTAAAAATAATCTAATAATTCTTCCATATTAAAGTCATGAGACCTGTCTTACTAATAAAACAGAAGGATTATGTGCAGCATCTTCCACTCATCTGTGAGACGATATGTTACCTGGGAGGAATTGTGAAGACCTGTGGTGCTGCAGAAAGTCTGGGAGGAGCAGGGGGGTAGAGAGGACCTGCAGGTGCTGACGATGTCTGGAAGGCTTGTGGAGGGAAAGTGTTCAAAGTCCACCTCTGACTCATCCTGCAGGGACAGTTATAACAGGAGAATCAAAAAACCATCTATGTTCATCTGAGGTAGAACAAAAAACAGCATTGAAAGTGAGAATTCCTCAACAGCTCCTGCAGCTTTAGAGCAGGACTAACAGAACCCATCTGTAGTTAAAAACAGGGAGGTCCTGAGAGCTGCAACATGGTCAAAAAGGTTTAACGGGTGATATGTGACCTGTTTGACTCCCTTAAGGCATCTACAGCATCACAGTAGACCAATGTGATGTATAATAAAATAGAACAGGATAGAAAGCAGTGTGTGTGTGTTGTGTCAGTTGGTTAGGGTTTGGGTTAGGGTGAGGTATGCATTGGTAATGGTTAGGTTTAGGGTTAGTTTTAGTGTTAGGGCATAAAAAGGGTTGAAAATGACTGAAAATCAATGGAGTCAACACATGGCCCTCACTACGATAGCAGAACGAGTATGTGTGTGTGTGTGTGTGTGTTGATTACCCAGCTTGATACGACCAACTGGACCAAACCAGTCGTGGAGCGAAGGACAGAAACGGCCTCCTGATGTGTGAGACCAACCAGAGACTGACCGTTGACCATGAGAAGCTCGTCCCCAACATGAAGACGTCCGTCNTATCGGTTATCGGCTACATGAGTTTTAAAATATCGGCATATCGGATATCGGCCAAAATCCCAATATCGTGCATCCCTATTTATTTCAGTTATGTATGTTCCGCTTTTGGACGATCATCAATGCTTTTAAATGAGCGGGGCACTTATGGTAAGATAAAATGCCCAAAGGGGTAGACAAGTCAAAACAGGTTGAGAAACAGCGCTATAAGCGACCCTGACAGTGGCTTCAGCATCATGCTGAATGTAATCTCCGACTCATCGTCTGCACATCTTCACCGTGACCGCGCGCATCCGAAAGGAAAAGACAGAAAATGAAAGGATCTCACACGTAGAGCAGAGTGCCACAGGGCTGACCTGCACCCAGTCTTAGATATGCATATGTGTCTGAGGAGAGCACTCACCTTCCCCTGGCCTTTCATCAGCACTATGCTGGAGATAATGGACGGCTGGGCCAGTCGCCATGGAGACTCCACCTGAATGGTGCTCAGGGAGCGGGCCGACTTCTTAATTATCTGGTATTCCTAAGAAGGAGATGAATATAAAGACCTTTAGATACATTAATATTCATCCATTTGTTGATGCAGTCACGACTCTCTCCATGAGTTCTGAGTCTGAACTTTTGCTCCAAATTACATCCGTCTCCACCTGGTTGTTGATCTCTAGATGGGATTCCTGCATCTACACATCTGACACTTTCATTTGTCTTTGTTAAAGGAAAAGTCCAGTCAATTTCAGAATTCAAACTTCTGAAATTACTTTAAATATGAAATTATTACATACTGTTAAATAAATGATTAGTGTTTTTAATTCAGAGTAATTTTCATCTGAATGTGCTGAGGAGGTCATTCAGCTATTTGCTTCAGGTTTGTTGGATCAAGGATGGATCTAAAAGCTGCAGGATACCGGCCCCCAGGATACTGGAACTGCCCACCCCTGTTCCACAGGGAACTAGAGCCCAACTGATCCTCAGGAGGGGAAGCAGAGCTTTGATGTCCCTCCTAACATCTCCACCTGCTGGTAGGTAATAGACTGGGTTACCTGTCTGACTCCAGTGGCGTCCAGCTGCTGAGGTAAGGAGTGTTTCCGTCGGCCGGTTGGAGGTTTCTCTGCCGCCTCGATGCCACAGATGCTGCTCTCCACGAGCAGCTCGTCGTCCTCACCCACCGACTCCAGCCGACTGCTGCCGCCTGAGAGGCAATAAACAGCAGGTTCTCAAAATCTGCTCAGAAATAACAATAATAATAATAGACCACAGTCACACCCATGGATCGGTTCCGCGCTGCATCCAGCCGGACGTGTATTTGTCCTCCTTTATGAGGCACTAGGCTTTTAGAGCAGATTTTTATTTTATTTTATTTTTTTGCTGGGCTGCAGCACAATATCCAATCATCAAAAATGCATCACTATCTGATCTAACAGATGATTGGCTAAGAGTGGCGGCATGTCAGATAAAGATCTACTTGTCATTGGTTACAAAAGTAAACAAGGATCGGATTTACTGATGCTAAGTATTACAGTTAGCTTCCTGTCAAAACCAGGACGTCGTTTAACCCAGAATGGACAAAAGAGCGTGAATTTATGACCAAAGGTAGTGGAGATTCATTCATGGGCATCAACAGTCGAGGAAAAGCTGCAATTGAACGGCGTGCGAGTACGGATTAACATAAAAGTAATAAACGTGCAGCAGCGAACTCTTCAATCTTGGCTTTTACATTAAGTTTTGTCGCCCCTGGATGCTAAAATAACTTGTGCAGAGCTGCAAGGTGGAACAGACTATAAAACATCACAAAAGACTGAGGCTCTTAAAAATAAAGCTATACTTTTAGAGCAGTTGAATGTGTCTCTTTTGTTGTTTAAAAAAATATTAGGCTATTTTATTATGAATGTTTCTTGTTTAAAAGGTTTTTTTAACGTTTAAGTCCAC